CATTTCATCCCTTAGAAATAAAAAGGGTTCTCAGAGAATTGCATAATTTGTCCAAATCAGCGCCAAAATATGATGCAACTTTGTTGACAATAAAAACAAGATTGCCTTAAGCTTTAGAAAAACAAAGAACAGAGTTTTGTCCCTCCATGAGCTTTTGGTCCATAACAATTGCCTTTAAACTGGCTTACATCGGAGGCTTGCCAGCACTTAGAAGCTGTCCGACAATTCCGTTTACCTGAAAATGGTTATATGAAGAAAACATCAGTAATGGTTGTGAATTGAATTGCCAATGGTGGTTAACCATGAGAAGATTGGTAATTGAATTGTTTAATTGACCCAAGAGCTTACCTGCCAGTACTTAGAAACACAACGGTCAATGCAACTATTCTCACCCATGTTTAACTCAGCTTCCTTGTACCTTGTATCAGATGAATTCAAGACAAACAATCTCAAATTGGTGCAACTGAATAATCTCTCAGCGAAAAAGTCTCGACGATTACAGACAAGTTCCATGAGACTGTAGACAACATTAGAAAAAGTCAAGCTTACCTTTTATCCACACATTTATTAAAGCATGTTTGAGCAAGCCTGCATTAAAAGAACAAGACCTTATCAGGATGGAATTATAAAAGATGCGAGATTCTACCTAATCACTAAACCCGAGGAATCACAAGAAATCAGACACCATGAACTTGGTATGTCAAAATGGTTCTTGATGACATCAAGAATTAACAAAACACCACCAAGGCAAAGGATATGAAAGGTTACCTCTACATAACAGTGAAACACATCTACACCTAAGCTTACTTTACTCAAGGACTTCTCATAAAAAGATTTAACCAACTCAGGAAGTGTAACGGTTTCCCGTATCAGCAGTCACAAACTAATACTCCTTTAGATGATATCACTACTTAACATAAAAGACAGATCCCACACAATGTGCTTAAAACAAACTCAACCCAATATCCTGATACCAAATCAAAATTCAGTGGACCAATCTCTAAATTCCAGAATAATAATAAAAAAAAAAAAAACGAATGGATCTTGATCAGTACTTGTTAAAGAGCTCCACACGATATTCCATCTCCGTTTGTGCCATACTAAAAGCCTGATTCAATCCAAGAGAAGACAAAGAAAGAAAAAACAAAGATGAGAAACTCAACACGATATTTCATTGAACTAAAAAATGGAAGCATAAATTCCCAATGTTCTAGGTACACAAAGATCTGGTATGATTGAAACCTATATGTCGACACAGAGACTATGTAAAACTTGAGCTCAATTATCTAATTAAAGCAAAGATCGAAGCTTTACAATGTATCAACAACAAAAGATCGACGAATCTCTGGGAAAAAATCCGAACCTGTTCCTTATCAATGCCGATGGGAATAGGGTTGGTCGAAGCCATTTCTGTACTACCTGAAAAAAAATTTAAGATTCGTAAAAATCGAAACTTAATAAATTTAAGACAGGAATTTGAAGATTAAAAAAAACCTTTACTTTCTCAAACTGGGATTCTCCGCGAAAGGAATACACAGTGAAGAGAAGACGGAAAAAAGAAAAGCTTCTCTCTTTTTGCTACTCAGCCGAATTAGGGTTTAAGAGACGTAAAAAAAACGCCACGTCATCAAACGAAGGGCATATATGTAATTACGCGAAATCATTAACACCGAGTTTTCCCCTTTGTAAAGCTTTTAGGGTTTTAGCAATTCTCGCACAACTTTTGCTATTGCAGGTATCTTCTTCTCCCTCTGGGATAAATTTCTTCGATTTCGAATTCTTCTGATTGAAATTCGTTACTGTCTCTTTTGTTTCCCAATTAGTTTCTTGCTGGATTTTTTTTATTTCAGTTCTTGAGAGAAAATTAGTAGCAGAAGCTGATATGGAGATCGGTTCGTTCGCAACTGATGCCAATGCTACATTTACTCTAACATCAGAAGATCACACAATGGCTAACGCCGTTCGATTCGTTTTGAACCAAGAGTTAGTATCGTCTTCCTAATCCTCTTAATATAGAAGAAGCTATACATATACTTACTCAGAGAATCTTGTGAATTATATCAGTTTGAGACTCATGTTATAGGCAATAGAGATTTCAAAATATAATTGAACAATCGGTGTGCCACATTGTAGATTTGTTATGTCCATATATTTGTAATTGTGAAAAATTGCGTTTGAATGAATGTCATGTGTTTAGAGATTCCCGTTGTATGCCGAATCGTTTCGAAAGGATTCAATTAAAGGGTCTTTGCTCTCTAAATCAGTGAATAGTGATATCGTATTTCTCATTTGGGTTAATGCTGTTTCATATTGGACATGTGTGTTATGTTACTAAGCATTACTGCGTATATAATTTTTGCAGTCCAAGAGTAAAATCGGCTGGATACAGCATCCCACATCCTTCCCTTGAGTGTGTCAATATCCAGGTTCAGACAACAGGTAACGTTTTTCAGAACCCTTGTCATTACATTGACGCTATGTTCTGTCTGGTTAACTCTCTATAGGAGTTGTTGATTTTCACCCTAATCTTCTTCTGCTTGTTTTAAATTATCTCCCATTAGTTCTTTGTCTGTGTCTTAACCACCAAAAAATTGTGGGCTCTGTGAATTTCTAGGCGATCCGGCAAGGGAGGTTTTGAGAGATGCATGTCAAGAGCTTATGCTCATGAACAGACATGTGAGGAGCGTCTTTGATAAAGCGGTTGCAGAGTATAAGGCT